GAAAGAGAGAGAGAGAGAGAGAGAGAGAGAGAGAGAGAGAGAGCTGTGTAGCACTGATCAGTTTTATATGATCTTTTAAACTGTCTTAGTTGTTTCTTAAAGAAATGGTTCTGGTAGCTATGACAACTTTTTATTTTTTATTTTATCTACACAGGGACCAAGGCCATTTTTGTACAGAGAATGATAACATTTACGTTATGCTGRAATTATATTTCTCTTTATAAGACAAAAAAAACATGCATGCACAGTTTTTTTTTTTTTATCTTCTCAGTGGTTTTGGTTACTGTAAACATTTCCTCTAAAGCTGTGCTCAGTCAGTTTCTCCTCGGAGCCCTGAGGCTGTTTTCTGAACAGGGCTCAGAGTGGTACCAGGTCTAAATGTTTCTGGGAACAGAATCTGATCGGCCCTCTCACACCTGCTCGGCATCATTTGCGAGTTTCTGCTGCTGCACAAACATCTTCCTGGTCCACTGATGTTATCAGGCGAATTCCCATAAAGCCCCCATAGAAAACAGCTGAACTAAGTCCTGGGGGGGAATCTAACTGCCTGCTTAACCACACAGCAGCAGCATGAACTTATGCAGCTCAAACTTRCCTTCGCTTTTTTTAGACTCAGACCCTTGACTGCACTTTTCTCTCTGTGTATTTTTATTTGTTTTTTATAGTGGAATAATTAATTAGGTACAGTTTTTCCAGTGGGGTGATAAATTGGCATTGTTATACAAACTGCAGCAGTAAAAGAAATGATGATGTCTATGATGCTGCTGATTGGCCTTTTATGAGGACTTTCAGAGACAGAAATAATAAAGACAATTCCAGCCAGCATTGCTTTTTATTCTGGGGTCATCTTAAGAACTGAATAAAAAAAACACATATCCACAAATACTTTCATTGTGCAAAAGTAAATGTATATTTTCCCATTAAGAAGAAGTCAACATCTGGAATACTTTGTGTATTTTAAGGTTTTCAGTCAGGAAAATGTTCTATTTGTTAGAATTGACCCAAAACATGGACTGCACTGAGACTATTAGGACACTTGGTATGCCTCTACTTAAACTGCTATGTTACATTCTTATGTTTGGCTTAATGAACAAACTTATATGTTTTTGATCATCATGGAGCAGAAGCTATATAGGGCTACAGCCAATTGCTGAAGTCCAAGTATTTTTCACTTTTAACATGTGCAACGAACACAAATATTTTGGCTACTGCAGCTTTCTGTCTGTAGCRGCCCGTAACAAGAGCAGGGAGACAAAACAGAAAACCAAGGCAACAATTTTGATATAGCTGTTTAGAAATTAATACCTTTATTATTTAAAATGGTCATACCATCCTCCTTCTCATAATCTACAAATCTGATTACATATTAGTTTTTGCCATTTTGAATCATTCAATATGGCAAAAACTTAAGTCTGTGAAATATTGTGTGATCGTTAGGTTTTTAAGTCAACCCCTTTATTTTACAAATGAAAGGAGTTTCTTTACTCATAAAACACCTGAGAAACGTTCTTTTCAAGAACAATGAAAGAAACTTTATTTATAAATTACTTCCAGGCAGATTGTTTAAGCANGTTCTTGCATGAGGCCCATTGTTCCTATGTGACATAATATTTCTGTGTATTTCCAGCAAAAACCATCATGTTTGAGGGCAGAACTCATATCCCATATGGCTGAGTATGTTGGATTATCAAGAACAAATGTTTTATGATTTCATTTTTATCAACTTTTTTTGCAAAGCTGGCATTTTCATGTCAGGTGAAAACATGTTCCAAAAGTGCAGGTGGTTCAGCAAAGCACACATCTCAAAAAATCAGGAAATACGAAGGATCTCAAATAATGGAGTTGAGAGCCTAACATCAACCTCAACGCAACGTCAAGAATCTGATCTGATCACTTTTATTCTGGGAAAGGAATGTTTGTGCTGTGGTTAATATGGGATAGCTAGCAAATATACAGTAAATGTTATTTTGAACAACTTCTTGACTGCCTACTACAACTTTGAATTTTACATTTGTGATGGAAATCTGTCAAAGTGTTTGGTGAGTCAAGGTGTTCTGTCAAACTTTGAGCTTTGGCCTGGACTTAGTTTAACACAGAACTACTGAATGTGGTAGAGAGCAGCACCTGTTTAGGATCAGTGGTACCAACTATCYTTAAGCATGACAACTATTTTAGAATAGAATTGAATTAACATTTTTTGTTCTTTATTATTTTGTTGATTTTAGTGTGAAATTACTAGTTTTTGTCAGGACCCAATCAATGAAATAAACTAACCAACACAAGGACAACTTGCTATTTGAGGTTTCAGGTAAACAGGAGTCATGTGATGTGAAGATGAACTCCTGAACTAGGCCAGGGTTTGGTTTTGATTTAAGAGATAACTATTGTCGTGTCTCCAGCTGCTCTGTACATTTACTGTACACACACACACACACACACACACACACACACACACACACACACACACACACACACACATTTTGCATAATTTCAGAAAAACTGACTGTTATTTGTGTTTGCTAGAATCAGTTGGCTGTGGCAGCCATCTTGAAGTGGGTTGACTCAAAAAGTTAATCTGTTATAATGTAAACCAGATGATAATTTTCTGAAAATTTCAATAAAATTCATTTTGTGGTTCATGAGATCTTTTACAGGCGGAATGGAGAGTTGATGGCTGAGTATTAAATACAAAACTTGCAAGATCAGTTACAGTTTTTCTAAATTGCTAAAACACATTTCACATTCATCCATTTCTCTGAACTGTAAACACAAAAGCCAGTTTCCAACACTACTTTCATAGATCCTCTGACTCTTCATGCAAAATCAAACTCAGATCAGACCTTGAGTCCATCAAAATTGTTAATAACCGCTTATTGCATTGTATGTCCTTTTTTTACTTGGACTGCAGATGCAAATTAGTTTATGCTATAATCTGGTACATCAAGTGGTGACATTTATGTTTGAGTTGTACATTGTCCCTTTTAAAATAAAGTTTTTATCATCAAAAAGAAAGCACTAATGAGCAGTCATTACATGGCATAGGGAAAAAAAGGAAACACAATGATAAGATCATGAAGCTTTTGGAATAGTCTTTAACTGTCCACAAAGAAAAATGCATGTCTGAAACAAAACTCCTATTTAACACTTGCAAAAAAATAATAATTAAAAAAATACTAAACACTGTGTATCATGTGAACTTGTAACTCACCCTACTCTTCTCCTTCAGTTCCACTTCACTTCACACTGAGGTTTTCTACAGGTCTGGGAGCTTGAAGATTCTGCTCAGGAACAAAGCTGAACTTACAAATTTACTCTTACGGAGCGAGATTTCTGAAATTGTATCTGTTGAAGCCATTTTTTGGGGGGTGGGGGGGTCACAGCACAAAGTGCTCCAATGAGCACCGGAACCACTGATGTTTTGACTCTCCACACATCTTCATTTCCTCTTTCAGCTTTTAGCATGGCTCCAACTTCTCGTGCTCCCTCTTCCTGATGTTACAGTCATTTGAGATTGGTACYTCTATCACCACTGCCTTTTTCTCCTGCTATATGTGTGTGCAGAGGAAGTATTCACATTCATTAAGAATAGATACTAGAGTTTTAAAATACTTTTTTAGAGGTAGAATTATCAACTCAAGCTTTTTACTCAAGTAGAAGTATAAAAGTACTGGTTTTCAAACTACTAAAGTATAAAAGTAAAATTAATGACCACTTAAAAAACACATTAGGCTGTACAACACCCCCATCTTTTTTCTTCTWAAGTCAATAATGAMTATAATTAAAATGTTAATGCTGAAAATTTAGAATTAACTGACTAGACTACTTGTTTCCGCCACGTCATCTTCATTCTAGGCTCRATCTTCTACAGTCTGTCCTGCAGGAATGTGAWGTGATTTGTGTCATACAGGTGTGATGGAGTGTGTTCAATCCAATARGATGTCAGAATGGTATATTTTTACACTTATCATCCAACCACAATCTAATTCACTCTATCCCAGGGCTCCTTTATTCTTTTCTGAACAATGAAAAGATGGAATAAAAACAAGTCAAAGTTAAATAGAAATAAAATACTTTTTGCATTTTTAAAAAGTAAGGAGTAGAAAGTACAGATAATTGAATTAAAATAAGGAGTAGATGTAAAAAAGTAGGCTGAAAATAATTAATCCACTAAAGTATAAATAGGCCTAACCAAAATTTCTACTTTAGTAAAGTAACAAAATATTTGTACTTAGGTACTTGACACCTCTCTCTCTCTCTCTCTCTCTCTCTCTCTCTCTCTCTCTCTCTCTCTCTCTCTCTCTCTCTCTCTCTCTCTCTCTCTCTCTCTCTCTGTGTGTGTGTGTTTCATTTACAAATAGAAATGCATTACAACAAAAGTGTATACGGTATTTTTCAGTATATATTACAGTATTTACCTCTGATTTTATTCATAGTGTAAGCATTGGTTTGTTTACATCATCACATGTGTGTGTGATCAATTTTGCYTTGCCATGTTTTTAGTTGAGACACCAGTGCTTTAATTGTGCCTCACTTTTGGTACCTGTGCTTGAACCCAAGTGAATCACAGAGCAAAACATGTTTTAGTGGGTAAAAATAGGTTTGCAAGTTGTGRCTAAGTAAAGAAACATTCTGGCACAAGGGGGGCCATTTCATTAAATGGGTTCAGGATGTCGAACGTTTAGTTCAGACAACAGGATTTAAGAAAATATGTGTGTTTCAAAAGACTGCTACCTGCTACTCTGCCAAGCAGTAGCCCAATATCTGTAAAACAGATTATGTGACCACATTTTTTGTAGTTTCTACCATGCGTTTGCTGAGGAGTAGCGACCATCTTGAATGGCATTGAATCTAAAAGTGAATCAGTTCTAAATGTACAGCTTAACTTTCTGGGAGTTTCATCAAAACACACACAGACACATACTCATTTTATTACTCCTTCACCTTTGATGACAAGGAATAAAAAGGATTTTCTCCTTATCAGCAGTGATTTAAAGGCCACAAACTGTTGTAGTTACATATTTATTTATACAAAATTTAATAATTTTACACACATAACAGATTGTTGGGCTTCCTTCATTCACGCATCTTCCTCTGGAACACGTCTTGCCTGTGAGTGAAAAAATACTTTAAGTTTATTTCTCTGAAATTATTTAATCTAACATGTTAACATCAGCTTTTAAAATGACAGTAATTTAAACATAGGCACTGCACAATGTGTAATATCATTGTGACCAGCAGAGGTCAGTATGAATACATATTAGATCCAATCAGCTGAAATCTTACCTTTGCTTTGCCACAGTTTCTGATCCTGTTGCCTTAAGAAATAAAAGACAGTTTATTTTATTTCATTTTTTTTCTTTAAATTGTGGTATTTATTTAACAAAAAGAGTTTTATTGCTTGTTTATTTTTTAAATTGCTCTGATAAAAATCTTCAGTAGAGTGCATCATGGCAAAAAAAAAATCAAATGTTTTTCATGCTGAGAATCACAGACACCTTGGTATTTCCAGCCATGTATTGTGTGATTCACATTCACACAAACTTGTGTACACACTGATCACTCTTTAGCTGATCTCTCTTTGTTTCTATTTTCAAGACTGAGCATACAAGCTGCATTCAAATGCAAAACATTCATGAACAGTTGCTGTTGACTTACCAAGCAGCAGAGCAAAAGACAGGAACACAACAACTCCAGCAAAGGTCAGACCTCCAACACGCAGCGTATGATAATCTACAGAGTCACACAAATACAAGAATATTTCCGTTATCAATATAATCTCTTACAATTCTCCTTGTGGTTCTCTCATTTGTGCTTTTCCTGGTTTTTGTTCCACCTCAAACCTTTACCTACTCCTTCATTTTTGCTTTCACTAAATTATTTTTTTTATTTCTTTGTATTTTTTTTTTTGTTGCTTTGGTCTTTTTACTAAACAAAACATATTCTGTCAGAAATAAAATCTGTCACACTTTTCCATTTGTCTATTTTACAGCCCATAGTTAATCTGATCAAATATGTTTTCAGGGAGATATTTACTAACCATAAACAAAGTCAGCATCCCAGTCAGTTTGAGCATCTGAGGAAAAGAAAAAAGAAAAGTGAAAAGATAGAAACCCAGAAAAAAAACACATAATTTAACAGACACTCGTGGCTCCAGCATCCAGAGYAAAACAGTTGGCAAATATTTTATGGTTTACTCACTGTGACAACTCCAGCAGCCAAAGGGTTTTATTTACATTTTGTCAATTATTTTATGTTTCACACATGTGATGTATTATTTACCACTCACCTGTTTGTTATCATCTCCTCAGTATTTATGTTATGCACTTTCCTTTCCGCCAGGTTGTGTTTTATTCCAAAGTTTGTCTTGAAAATCATTARAAATATATTTTGCATAATTTTATTTTTTTTTTACTCATGAGATTTTCTGCTTTATATCTTTGTTAGATTATTTCTCGCAGAAATAAAGACCTTTTGCTTGCAACCATTTTCTCCATAAAGCTAAAACATGACACTTTGGTCAAGAATTTAGAGGCTTCAGGGCACTTTTTTGGATTTACACATTTCTCAGACTTGAAAAGGCATTTTGAGTAAAACATGCCAGCCTGTAGCCTACTATATGATAAGTGTTTCTTTTTTATGTCTGTAAATTAGATGATGTATGCTTAAATTAAAGAAATTGAAAATGGTTATGAAAAAATGTCATATAACAAATTATTCTGGTAGAAATGCAAATGATCTTTTCCATGTTATGATTAAAGTGTTTAGAACATAACCAAACAGATAAAGAAAACAAGATCATGTTTAGAAAGAGTTGTCATTGACATTCTTTTTTTTTTTTGTACCTTATCCTCTTTAACATTTACTGGAGATACATTTCATCACAATCCAACAAATAAGTTCAAAAAAGAAAACTCACTAAAAATCAAAAACCCTTGATTTTAAAATAAGAATATAACAGCAAAAGGTAATTAAAATTGATTCTCTGTTGCTCTTTCCACACAAAAATCAAAGATTTAAGAAAAATTCCAACTTAATTTCCTCAGCTTGGAGTCAGCCAGCTGGTATGGGTAGAATGCATTGAATATATGCATTGAATATATATATATAGTAGTGCTTTTGGGGCTACATAAAATGTGAACAAGGGCACAAGAAGACTGACATGTGTGATATAATGTCTTAATTCACTTTTACAGGTGCATAATGAGCCATTTATTACCTTGAGCAGAAGACATGCTGATTTGTTTGGTTGATGAAACTGGAAGGACACGAACACAAACAGTTAGCAAAAGTCCAAAAATTATAACAGCATTTAGGTGATCTATCGTCATAATAATAAAGGTCATGGAGAGCTTTCAGGTTTGCCATCTGGAAGCTGTTTTGAAGGTGAAAAATCATGAGATTTGATTTCAGAGGCACCTTGTTTTTAATAAAATCTGAGACCTGCTGAGGCTCATTTATTTAGTCTGAGCCCATTTTAGATTAGAGAATGTTGAAAGGCCTGGAAACTCTATAGCACACATATGTTCTGACAAAGTGCCTCATTAAGTCGTCTACTGGAGAAACAATGTGACTGCCTTGATCTTCACAGACACTTTAAAAGGGCTAATGGTGTTATTGATCCCTTCTTTTACCCTCATTTCTTCCACCATCATCCTGCAACCACACACACACTCATACACGCACACAACTTTTTTCATTTGATCCACATCTTCTGCGCTGTAATCATTAACTCACACAGATTAACACTCCAAGAGTTTCCTCAGCTGTCCTTGTCTTTTTGTTCAAGCATGCCGGTGTTAATTGTGGACCTCAGTTCATTCTTGTATCATGTGTCTTGGACTTTTCCATACACCACTGAGCACAAGGACATGCTGGGCAGTTACTCATTAATACATCGCAGCTCTGGCATTCATTAACCTTGAACCTTGAGCAATCAAACAGAGGTTAAAGATGTCGTAAAGAAAATAAAACACCTGAATTGTGTTAATCTTAGCAAACAAACACGTTAGGCCTGAAGTCTAGCACATCTACAAAAATATGTTTTTTTATTTTTTTAAATGTAAAATTACCAAAAAAAAATTGTGGAAACAAATACATGGGACCCATTTTTACAGGAAGTATTATTTGAACCAGGCATCATTGTTAGTTGAACATTAAAGAAATTTAGCTTTGGAAGAAGTATTTTTTAATCATAAATATGTTGACTTAACATTTTGAACTAAAACCATGGTCCCAGAATCCCAAACTTGCAATTCTTATAAGCATCATTAGTGTATACATGAAATACATTTATACAACAAGCATGTTTTGTTAAAGATTTGTTCAGAAAACAATAATAATAAAGTAAAAACTCACTTGAGGTTTGCTGAAGCCRGTCTTACCTCTGCTCTGTGAGGATGATTATGGGTGGAACCTGTCTGCGACCAGACTCCTCACCTGTAAGATCCACCCCCTCACACACAACTTTTCCACACCTCCAGGAATGCTTTCAGAGCAGCCACTTGGTTACATATTTACAGTATCATAAAGTGCAGATATGTTCAGATTTGCCAACCTTTGGAATCACTGCATAAGCAGCAGCACATTCCTCTCACTACTGGTGAGGACATTTTTTCCCCACATTTAGCTGCTGTACAACCTTGACCGTCATTGATAGAGGATAACCAGACTGATTTCAAGGGTTTCTGCAGATCTGCTTGTGAACCAAATCTTTCCTTCCAGCATCAGAAAACTGGATTATTTCTAAATGATTTAATATAAAAAAAGAGATTTTGTGTTTGAACATACTTTTATTGATTTATGCCAAAGCACAACAGGTTGCTACAGAACAAGGCCTCATGCGCAGGAAGGATATAGCATTTAGCTGTAGCTCTCATCTTTAAAACCCACACTTTTGCTTTGTGAAAGCCCAAATCTCCACACATTCTTTAGGATTTAACTTCACATCAGGCTACTTATGTTTGGGTTTTAACTCACCCACCCTTTGTCTTTTCTTTTAGTGCATGTATGCTGTTCAAAAGAAAAGTTACAAAGAAAAAAAAAGAAAGAGAGGAAGGAAAAAAAGCTAATTCCAGCTTCACAGATTTGCGCCACTAGTGATTGCAAGCAGGGAAGCTAATCATAGATTGCAGGAGACTAGTTAATCCTGCCGGAGCCAGTGGAGTAGATATGTGGAGAAGAAGGRAGTGAGACAGCTGACGTAGGCGCTCGCTCCACTTCAGACGGCAAACCACCGTGGTGGAGGAGCCCACAGAGATACCTGCTAATCAGTCACGAGCTCACTCACAGAGCTGTGGCATTGGAGATTGTCTCTTGTAAGGATCATCACATCGACATGTCGAGCTACGCTGAAGGACGTCACAATCATGCAGGATAAGCCTGCTCGGTTAGAACTACATTTTTATGCACACCCAAACACARCACTCAAACATACATGGAGGATATTTAAATGCCTCGCACGTAAAGTATTTCTATGTGCATATGTCTTATAATCCAAATGTAACAAACGATATTCAGGATGACTGACAAAACAAGCGAACACAGTTACAAATCCTAAAACCTAAAGTCCAATAGATAGGAGTACAAATGAATAGCACACCGCACAACATTAAAAAAACTGTCTGAAGGATTTTCTAAACAATCTTGTGTCATCGATGCTGCAGGCTAAGACAACAAACTGCAGTGAGAGACCATCACAGGAAGGCACGGAGATCAACAGAAGCACAGTCACAACAAAAACAGCTGGCACAAAATCTATTTACACACGACACCTTTCTGATGCATGCCTCCCCTTTTATCCTGCGATCTAACCAATCCTTTAATTCCTTTGTTAATATTGTTAGAATGTCAAATAAAATGATCAGAATTGTTCTGAAGGTGGTCCTGGGTCGCCGTCTCAGTTCTCTGATGGGGTCTCCTTGGCAGCCGCTGCAGCTGAGAGAAAGTCAGAGAGACTGGTTTAAGCTAAAGACAAGGTTTGCAGGGGAAGAAGTCAAAGAGTGAGAAAGGGCAGACATGTTTTAATAGACAGAGCCCTTCAGGTAAAAAGCCTACAGTATAAATTCTTTGTCAGTGTGTAACAGGTGCTAATGGACACCAGCAATAAGAAACTCAATTACGGATTTATGTCAAGAGCTGAGAGTTTAAATTCTCATCTTACCATTGGAGACAATCATGTTCTCTTCTTGTGCCTCCTCGTTTCCGGAGGCCCTGTGGAGAGAATCCACATGCCGTCATGTTAACCAAATTATGT